CTTCCCCACTCCCAGAAACACCACACACAACCCGCTGCGGCCATCGTACCTGTACTGCCCAGCAAATCCTATTGGTATTCATTAAAGGTTGTAGCCACCTTTGGGTTAGATTTTATAAATCCTCAAAAACAATAAAAAATGTGTATAACAGATTACCATTCAAGATTTAAACTTCAAGGGGGTGGTTGGTGTCTTGGACTTCTAAGATCAAACAAATGCAAAATTGAGGTTTTAAAATGATAAGTAGGTTAAAAAGTAAATCAGTAGAATGCCCCTTTTCATCACACTTGAGAGCTAAAGAGATAACTATAATAGAAGGGCTTGCATTTAGACGTCAGGAGTTTAGTGGTTTACTTTTACTCTTGAAGTTTCAAGTGCTTATGTTACAAATGTAATCCTTTTGCTTCACTTTAATTCAAAGTAAACTTATGAACACCATATCAAGATATCAATATACGAAACAAATTAATGAATCAAACATGAGAAAGATTATGAAATAAAATTGCTACACTGATATGGATGGTGTTGTTTAAAAATGAAATTATATATATCATGCATGTAATCTCTAGAAAATTTTACTGTTTTATGCTCATGTGTTTGAAGAAACAGATTTATTTCTTTTATACAAGTCTAAATCTAAAGGTCAATCAAGAAAAGAAGCGTATAAAACGATAAGAAGTAATATATATTTATTATTACCTGATACCTTGTCAAATTCCAGAACAAAAAATCCCTAAAATTAAACCATAAAGTTGAAGAAGGCTAGGGCTTCATAAAACTAACAAATTAAACAAGATAAGTGGACTACTTAAACCAACATAATATCAAACAAACAGAAAACTTCATGGAATGAATAAATTACTTTAGATGTGCAAGCAAGAAAGAAATTTATCCATCATTGAGAAATATTTACTTTTTTTCTATCTCAATTTAAAACCAATTAAAGAACACATAGACAAAAGTAAATACAGTTATCGAACCACAAGCGAAAAAAACACAAGTACAAATTAAATGTAATGTAAAACAAGGAATTTTACCTAAATAAAGCGGTTGGTGACATAAGAACAGCGGTCACGTAGGTGGAGGAGCACTAATGGAGGAACGGTTGTCAGCGGTGGAGGAATAAATACAGCCTCCTTGTATTTGATGGATCCGGCCTTTCCCCTCCGCTCCAACTCAGTTCTGGAAGCAGAGCTCACCGCCATATTTATCGGAGCTATATGGACAATAGAGACGGGTTAATCCAACTTTGAGATCGAATCAGACTTCTACGCTCCCCAGCCGATTCTTCAATATCACTTCTACGCTCCCCAGCCGAGCCAAAAGCCTTCATCCTTTGAAAATCTGGTGCTACAGATTCGGCACATGACCTTCACAGAATGACTCTCTCTGCTATTGGGAGGCTGGCGGTGACTTCCGACGATGTGCCGGGGTGGAGGAGCGAGGGCTAGCGCGATAGTCGTGCTTGGTTTCCCTTCCGTTTCTGATCTTAGGTGCTAGGGCATGGAATTATATTTCTGTTATTTAGAATAATGACCCCGAGCTAGATATAATTTTTCAAAAATTATAAATATGACCCCGTTTCAACATTTCATATAGGTTAAAATAATATATATTTTGTGTACGAGTGTCACTATGCTATACTGATATTTTTGTATCAGATAATAGTGACACTTATATGTAAATTAAAGGATATGTCGTATATCAGTGACACAAAATCCAAAAGTGTCACTAACAAAGTGTCACTATAAAACAGTTTTCTACTAGTGATGAATGGTATATTTAATTAATGAATGATTAATTAAATTATTTATCGGGACCCTAGTGTGGACAATGGGCTGCCAAATATTTAGTTAGGTCATTATTATAATTATTGGAACCCAATAAAACGCCAACTAAAGTTGAAGAAAATATTTGAGCAACCCAAGTGCTATTTTGACCGAACCTGCCAGAAATAGCAATAATAATTGGTTGAGACTTTCTACACCCACTTAGGGTATCCTACAAGCCACCTAGCCTCAAAGAAGTGAGGAAAGGACAAGGAAATAGGGTGAGGGGTCGTGCATGAGGGAGGGTGTCTCCTAGAGACAAAAACCCATACCCTCCATACCCTACCTTCACATGATTTATGTGTTTGATTGAGAAGGAATCTCTCATATCTCATCTTCACATCATTCGAACCAACCAAAGAAAGGGAGAGCCCCAGGGAAGTCTCTCACATAATCCATAGCTTGAAGAAAACAAGAAGGAAGGAAATCCATAGAGAAAAGGGCTAGAGTTGAGGTAAGAACCTAACTAAAATCCTTTAACTAGTTTTGTGTTGATATGATTTTAAGAAATCATATGATGAATTATATATGAAGTGCTACACGTTTAAAAGTATAGAATATTGTTATAAAGTGGTTGTATTTAACTTAGAAGAGTCGTGGAATCGATAGGAGTTGAAACCGCCGGAAACCGCCACTCAAAAAGAGTTGTTCGTAGTTGCAGACCACGAAAGCCGCCCAGCATTTGGTGAAAGCCGCCCGGATTTTGGCTGTTGTCCAGGATTTTCACTTTCAATCACCCTAGAACGGGGATTGATCGAGGGGTTTAGCAAAGGCAACTATTGTAGCACATCTTAAGGTGAGGATGACTGACTATATTGCTTATAATTGTTGGGTTAATTTCATAAGATTACCTAAGGTAATTAAATATGTTTTTCATGGATTATTAATGATTAATAGTGCCTAGAAATGAAGAGACTATGATATACAAGTGATTGGAGCATGATATACAAATTTATGAATAAATTGTGTATGATTATGTTATATGAATATGATGGCATGATGCTTGTACTAACCATGAATTATTGTGATAAAATATACTTTTACTTCATGTATAGAAATAATGGAAAGATAAAAGTGATATTTTTTATATTGAGATTAAATTATACTTGGATTGGAAAATCAATTGAAATGAACAAATGACTATGAATTTAGAACTTGGTTGTTCTAAGATTAAGCGACTGGTATTGAAAATAATAGTCGGGACGTTAATACGAATAAATGATAGAATTAATCCTAAGGTATTGGATTGTGTGGAGTTATGCCTTAAGTAGTCTTAAGACATACTTTAAGGTGGAATTGTATGAGCTCTAAGTTATATTAGGAGTAGGCCTTAAAGGCTACTCGAAATGAATTGAGTCTAGGCTGAGGAATTGCTTAAAGATTGAATAACGTGGAATGACTAAGAGCAAGGCTCTAGCACGTCGTAGTGGTGATTAAGAGCAAGGCTCTAGGCCGACGTGGAATGACTAAGAGCAAGGCTCTAGCACAATCTAGTGTGACTATGAGCAAGGCTCTAGCTTAATGTAGTATGACTAGGAGCAAGACTCTAGTGCAATGTAGTGTGACTACGAGCAAGGCTCTAGCGCGGTGAAATAATAATAATAAATAAATGAGCCTCTAATATAATGAGATGACGCATTAGCGTAAATCCCTATGATGGCGTAGTGGTTAACTAAAAGTTTATGATAATCGTGACTCGTAGTCACGGGGCAAAGGGTTAGAGGTTTCAAAGCAAACACGGGCCTACGGGCCGACTACTTGACTTTATTATATATAAAGTAAGTATATTCTGAACAGGGTAACTAAGGGTTACGGCCTATAATATAATATCATCCTAGATTGAGGGTCATAAAAATTGAAACATTGATTATATATAGTGTAGTTGTCATTGTACTTTTAAAATGTTTCAAAGTACCGATCTCCCCTTCACGGGAGAGGCTACCTCACAGTTTCAGGTAGAAATTCAAGGTTGCTACCATCGCCCGTTGCTTCGGGAAGATTGAGGGAAGAAGACTTGGCTCGTGCTTATTCTGTTCCTGTTTTGAAAACAATATATATAAGTAATGCTCATGGATATTATTTTCTGAATAATTATTTGGGGGCTCGTATGCCTAGATTTGCCGAGTGTGGCTTGAACATTTGTATTATGTTTGTTTGTGGATGTACTACGTGTGAATGATATTCCAGACGCCTCATATGATATGGATGTGTTGGACCGCGGTTGACTATTCGTACTGTACGACAGGTTGTTGACGTGTTCGGGTAGGTCCGGGGCGTGACAGCTAGTTTTTCTTTACTTTCCCTGTATGTTTTTATTTTATCTCTTGTATCTTTAAACTTCTAATAAAATTTGGGAAGTGATCCCCGACATCCCCCTCCCCCCACCATGTGTGGTTATCTCCGGTATAAAAAAAAACATCTCAAGGGAAAAAGTCTTATAACTAGCTGAAGCAGAGAGATTGTTTTTTTTCATCAAAAAGCAAATGTTAATCACCTTTAGAAAATTGATGAAAGTGTTGGAAAAAAGTGTGTTAAATTGCATTAAATGGTCATTTTGGGGCAATTTTTTGAGCGGGGTCCACTTCCGATTTGGGTCGGGTCAAAGTGGTTTCGAATTGTCCTTGCTTAGGGCTACAATTCGATATATGGTACGCTCAAAACGGATAACGGGTGAATGAGAAATCGCTTTTCGAAGTTTACCCGTTAGAATGGAGAAAACTAGGAAAAGGTGATGTTTTGGTAAGGGTTTTTCCCACACGAAAATCACAAGGGAATTTGAACCCTTTATAAAGGGAAACCCCCCCTAAGGAGTTAAGCTTCCTAAAGGGAAAGGCTCTCTCACGCGCGCAGGGGGGGTGCGAATCAAATCCCGAAACCGAAGAACAAAAAGCGCGACTTGCGTGTGCGGGCGACCTGCACACACGAATGCCGTCCGAAAATCTATCATCTAAAGATAACGTTAACTTTTGTTCTTTGGTAACGTTGTTTTTGCTCCATTAACTGCCAACGTTCAGAAGACCTTAATGCATGCCCAACGTTCATGTGGACGTTTTTCTGGACTGCATTGATGTCCCAACGTCCATATGCCTTAAACAGGCCATTAACACACCCAAGATCCTCCCCTATATAAGGCTGGCTACTGGTTTGCAAAATAAACAAGTCACAAACGTGCTGCACTTCATTTTAGCTCACAAAACTCTCCCAGCCTTCTCTTAAAATTCCTATTGTGTTCTTGCTTTGTTCACGTTCGTTGGAATTTTCGTTTGAGTGCTCAAACGCTTGTTCGTAGTCATCGTATCCTGGGAAACGATTCTTGCAACGTTCCTAGCACCCCGGGAGGCAACGAATACGTTTTAAGGAAATCGTGCGTTGCACGAGCTTTGACTTATTCTGCTTCATCTCATTTCTTGTTTTCTTTACGTCATTTTATTTAATTAATTTTTATTAATTAATTTTCTTTCTTCTTCGAAACACACCCTACAGAAAGTACCAAATATTTCCACTCTATAGCCAGGAAAAGCAAGTCTAAGAACACCATGTCATTTATCATCAAAGATGATGGTCTACCAACCACATCTTTGAAGGAGGTTGCTCATGAGTTTTTTTAATTACTTTCAGAAGTTATTTGGAACTACTAATAATTGTAACCAGGTGGATGATGAGATTATGAGGGAAGGCAAGAGGGCGACGATAGAAATGACTGACTCTAGTAAAACCTATATCTGCCTAAGACATAAAAAAAAATGCACTCTTTTGCATAGGAGATGACAAAGCACCAAGGTCAGATAAATACTCAACACGATTCTTTAAACAAATTTGGCATGTGGTGGGTGAGGAGGTAACGGGGGAAGTGATGGATTTTTTCGAACGAGCAGGTTGCTTAAACAGGATAAGGCTCACAAAGGTAAGTGATTTCATGCCTATCTCTTGTCCAAATGTCACACATAGCAAAAATCCTTGCCTCTAGAATGAACTTTTTGCTACTTGAGTTTATTGGTCTAGCACAAGCAGCCTGTGTTGATGGAGGAGGACCATATCTCAGACAAAGTACTCCTAGCAGAAGAACTTGTGAGAGGGTATACAAGAAAGTGGATGCCACCTCGTCATCTTATTAAAGCTGACATTATAAAGGCATGTCATATTATACACTGGAAATTTTTTAGAAGTGTATTTTTTGTTGGATGGGTAATGGAGTATATGTCATCTTTATCATTTTCAGTGGCGATTAATGGAGTTTGGTAGGACTTTTTCAAAGGAGGTAGAGGTCTAAGACAAGGTGACCCAATATCCCTCTCCCTGTTCATTATTCGTATGGAATGCTTTTCTAGACTTATGGGAAATAAAACCTCAAGACTAGATTTTAACTACCACCCTAAATTTAGTAAATTGGGAATATCCCTGATAAGTTCGTATTTCAACATGCATTTGATGGTGTTGGGATCGGCTTTTGATGGTTTTCTTAGCTTTAAGGTGTCACAAATCTCAATTTTAGCTCAAGTTATGTTTACCGGGCGTTGGTTCGAGTTTTGTTTCGTTTGGAGTCAAAATCAAGAAATTAGAGTCCGGTACCGGCGCTTGAGAAGCAATCGGGATGAGTTGATGAGCATTCGAGAGTGATTCGAGAGTTTAGGAGATCTCCGGGAGATTCACGATGAACAATAGATGACAAATGAGCTATTGGATCGATCGCGGAGCCACATGAGGACTTAAAGTGGAAAAAGTGAAGAATTTGAAGAATTAAGGCCACGCACGGCCGTGCGTACAAGGACGCACGCCATACGTGCATGGCAGAAGCGACCAGGCGAGATCGATGATGTTTGACGCACAGTCATGCATCTGGGTACGCACACCGTGCGTCCAAGGAGGAAGTTCGATGAACCCACTGACAGCCACGCACGGGCCCTGTTTTGCGCGCAGTTCTTCCGGGCGCACGGACGCCACGCATGTCGTGCGTGGGCGCCAGCCGCCATGCGTCCCCCTGCAGTTCCGATTCAGCCCGAATTCCCCCGTTTTCTATAAATAAGGCCTTAATAACCCATATTTGGAGTTACTGAATTTAGAGAGAGACCAAGGGATGAGTTTTACGCTATTTTTCCGCTAGTTTGTTCAAGACCGGGATAATTTACAAGTTCCTAGTTTTTAATTAATGACAATTATTTCTATTCATCCCAGTTTTGTTGATTCTTCAATTATGAGTTGTGGGTAGTTTTAATTAGTGATTTGGGATTGATGAAGGGGTTAATCTTGATGTATGGCTAGACTCTTGATGGATTAATTGCATGGATGTCGTTTAATTTGTGTTTGAATAATTTAATTGATATCTCTTGTAACCTAGAACCGCGGCTAGAATTACAATTGTTTCTAGAATACATTAAGAGAGATCGAGTTTATTCTTACACACCTTCACACACACACTTAATTGTTCGCTAAGAGATTAGTAGCGATTAAGGGGTCGTAAGCTCGCTCATCTTGGCAATAATTTAGGATCCTAGCAGAAGGTGATGATACCATTCGCGATTGTGGATCCAGGGTTTCGGACGGCTATGGTTGGAGGCAGTGAAGGGTTGGGGCAGGGGAAGTGGTTGGAGGTGACTGACAGAGGGGATGGGGAACGTGTAATGGCTGGGGGGAAGGGGGTAGGGTGAGCAGTGCGTCAGAGCAGGAGCTGGGGGCAGGTCGGGGGCGGGGCAAGGGTAGGGGTTGGGGTGCTGGGGCCTGGCGATGGGGGGCAGGGGTAAATGGCAGCGGGTGGGATGTTGGCGGTAGATGGCACTGCATCAGGTGGGATGGTGGCGGTAGATGTCACTTTCACCGAAAAGTCGCCGGAAAATTTCCGGCGGCACAGACACACAATGTCATGGTTATCGACATTATGCCACGTATTACGGATGATGTGACATGAAAACCAGCAGTCACTTTCAAAAGTGAAATAAAATCTGGCAGTGACATCATGTTTTTCCAAATATATGATCTTTTTAGTCATATTTTTTGTTTTTGTAACATTTTTAAAAATTGACTTTAAATTAGTAATATTGCACTAAAAAGCCTTTTATAAAAACATTAGGAGTTGGGGAAAAGACAAGATATTCTCAAGTGATTTCCCAATTGTCAAATCATTAATGTGTGAAAACGCGGGAAAAAATCTATGTTGTAAAAACCGGACCGGAGAGTGACCCGGCCACATGACTGGGTCACGGGTCAACCCAGACCCGGTGGGTCAACCCGGTCAAAGCCGTAAAACCGGTCAATGATTATACGTCTATATAATAATAGTAAACATATAATTATATATAAAATTATAATAAAAATTAGTTATTATTCATAATAATCAACTAACAATACTACTCATTAAGCATTTATTACACTCTTATAATATTTCAATGTATATTTTGATCTTATAAAAATATATAATGATATTTTTATTTTTATTGTACATCTATATTATAATTTGGCATGATGTTCATTCTTAAATAAATATATAAATATTTATAAATATATTACGTAGTTTTTCTTTTTAAGGTATTGAAATTGCAATTTTATTGGTATAAAAAATGCATTAAAAATAAAAAAGGAATAACTTTTTTTGGTAAAAACACCCAAAAACCGGGGTTTACCGGGTTTCTTGGGTCCGGGTCTTGACCGGGTTTTCCCGGGTCAGCCGAGTTTTTCTGGTTTTTGAACATTTCCGGGTTTTGAAAAAACCGAACCGGTTTTTTGTCCGGGTCACCGGGTTCCGGGTCAACCCGGTCGGGTTGGGTCGGTTTTTTAAACATAGGAAAAAACCCGGTAAGGTTTGCAAACTTTGCATTATAGATCGAAGGAAGCTTTTCGAAGGACACTTCATGGGCCCCTAATTCCTATCCAACTTTAAGAGTATAGTACTACTGCTTTTGACGAGAAACTTTCAAGATATACCATATTCCGTATATGTATAGTCGTTTGTATGGTCTATTTGTTCCTTTCTTTTTCTCTTTGAGTATGAATAGAAGTGAGAACACTGTTCCATTCCAGCTTCACTGTTGGGAGGTCAGTCATTACGTTCCTTACGGACTTCATGAAAAAATGATAAATTAAGGGATATGCTTAGAGTTTAGAGGTAAGGGCGACCATGTAATTCAAAATATAAAAAGTTTAATGGTCAGTAAACTATCATGATCACTTGGCCTGAGTGTATGAGGATGTTTTTATTTGAACTGTAATTTGCTGGTCTGGTCTGATCTATTTAAGTCTGGTCTGATCTGGTAAATGTCTGGTCTTTGTGTATTTTATAACTACGAAAGTCAAGTCTGTTCTGATCTGGTCTGTTTAAGTCTGGTCTAGTCTAGCATGATCTGTTTAAGTATGGTCTGATCTGATCTATTTAAGTCTGGTCTAGTTTGTTATGGACCGAAAACGGTTAAAAACATCCTGAGTATGAATTGGGGGGGGGGGGGGTATTGTATTAGGAATTAGTGACAAAATTTTAAAAGTCCATGGATTTTAAAAGTTTAGATGTATTCAACGTGGACTTTTAAAAGTCTACAAAAGTCTGGGTCTAATCAATATAGACTTTTAAAAGTCTATAAAAGTCTAGACGTATTCAAATTCTCATTCATTCTTATGGACTTCTAAAATCACGGAATCTCATGTACTTTTAACTCAATTTAAGTACAATATTTCTCTGCAATTGTTTCTTCTTTTCACCAAAGATTTCCGTGGACTCTTATGGTCGTATTCTACTCGTCACAAGTACGCATAGATCGGATTGCAGATTTAGCTAATTATTTAGCTGGGATCACAAACTGACCAACAAGTCCTGGACTAATACCAGTCGGGATGGAAGGTGGGTACCTGGATGGTCTCAGTATGCAAGATTTGAACATTAATAAAGTTGAACAAGGAGTTTATACATAAATACTGATACACAAGATAAACTTATCTTTTTACTTTTAAAAAATAAAAAATAAAAAATTATATTTTATATGTCGTCTTACGAAGATACATGTAGAGGTAAGATGGTTCAGTTCTTGAACCGTTCCCCATATCGATTCGGTTCTAGAAGTTTTTAGAAAACCGATATAAGAATCGACAATATTAAATCATTAAGAAAAAAATTAACTATTAGTGTGTTTCAACGTTAAACTGCTAACACATAAAAATATAATTTCAAATTACTAAGTATCTAACCGTAAATAAGTATACAAAATTTAACACGCAAAAAACGAGAAGAAAAGCTAGCTCGATTGCACCTATGTGTGTACCACATGTAGCAATGAGTGTAATGCTTGTTTAATTGTCAATGTTTTTACTCATTGAGTTGTGTAATACAAAGTATGAAAATTGATCATAAATAGATCAAGATTGTTGAACATTCTCAAAACTTTGAGTTTCTTTTCAACAAAAATAAATTTGGGTTCTTATACTTCATTTATTCTTGTAGAACTATGCATTGTTGAACGAATTACATTTGTTTCATTTATTTATTTATTTATTTATTTATTTTTAATCATATTACAAATAGGAAATTACTCATGGTAGGACTAAAACTTACGTAGTAGCATTTTACCAAAGTATGATCATATGTTTGATTTTCCTTAAAAAGGACTAAATATTACATTTCTACCCATAATATAATTAATTAATATAATTAATTTCCATTATTTCCCTTGCATAACCAAAGTCACTTTGTTTGCGGCAAACTCCAGTGACGGAGGCGGACAGGCAAATCGGTAACACCGATCTAGGTGAAATTCCGATGACCGGTAGTGATAGTCCGGATTTAAAAGTCTATGGACTTTTTAAAAGTCTATAAACTTATCAGTGGATTTAAAAGTCAATAGAATTCATGCATAAAAAAATCTATGGTTTTAAAAGTTCATAGACTTTTTTAGAAATCCATGGATTTAAAAAAGTCCACCATAATCCATATTCAAGACAGCCACTTAGATTTTTCCCTTCCGTACAAATGAACTTTTCAGTTGTTCTGTACTCCATAGTACCGAATCAGATCACATTGATTTTCTTATACTCTGTATAATATATTCCCTCCGTCCCATTGGACTTTGCCAACTTTCCCTTTTTGGTTGTCCCAAAAAACTTTGTCACTTTCCTATTAAATCAATTAATTTGTGGTTCAGCACATTTCTCTCTCCTATGCACAAATCTCAACCACACAGTTTTTACTATTCTTATTTTTCACCTACTTTGCACTTGGCAAAGTCCACTGGGACGGAGGTAGTACTTCGTACTACGTAGTACCTAAGTTTAACTTTTTCTGTCAATTTGAAGTGCATTATTTGAAAAAAAAAAATTGCACCTCCACATATCATATGGCTTTGTTTGCAACCACTTGTGCTTAAATAAAAGCACTTTTTGGGAAAAAGTTATTAGTAGTAAAAGTTGGTAGTGTTTGGTAAAATAAGTGTTTTTTGTGTAATAGAAAAAGTAAAAAGTAGATTATACACGGAAGCCGAGAAAGTAAAAGTTGGTAGTGTTTTGTAAAATAAGTGCTTTTTTCTTAGAAAAAAAAGCCAAAATCACTTTTCTTAAGTGATTGCAAACAAGCCCATAGTGTTTTATTAGTGGGTATCTATTTAGATGGTTCATCACAATTGGACAATAGCTATGTTGGCAAAACAAATACAGTGTTCGCACATATTAAAGTCTTGTGATTTTATAAGAATTTTGGTGTGGGACAATTTTTAATTTTTTATGTATTTTTAAATACAGTGTTGACAATTAATTAATAACAGAAAAGATCAGAGGTCATGGCGTGATGCTGCGTTTATTATTTAGGGAACCTACCTTCGGTGTATAGTGCATTTAATTTAATACGAAGTATATGCATGCATTTAGGTCGGGCGGAAACAGATATTTTCTTTATTTTGGATGAAAACACTCTCCTAAAAATTAAATCCATGGAACTCTATTTAATCCGGTAAGACAAATCATCAAAAATCAATCAAATAAATATCGAGGAACGTTTATCAGATTTATTAGAAAATAAAATTAATATAGTAAGAAAATTTGGACTAGATGATGACCTCCCCCAAAAGTGGCGTAATTGCGTAAACATTACAAAACTCTGGAAAATGAAATATGTAAACATCCATGAGAATTTCATATTTATTACAAAACGTGACTGAGTTATATGAATACAAGAAATAGAAGCCAAACGGTCAAGTTAACTTTTATTTGAGTGGGCCAATTCACGAAAATATAGATAACACAAGCAATATTGATCTCCAGCCTAATTTCATTTACTAGTATATGGAATCATTGTAAAAACTTATATAGTTTTGGTAGAGGTACACAAAATGTGTAGGACAGACATGTGTACACATTTTGTGTACTTCAAGCATTTTTCAAAAACTTATACACATGCTTCAGGAGATCGGCTTGAGGACCGTCTAATTAATTTGGAGGCCGCGGTTCCAAATGTTGAAGTGATGCTTCCTAAAACAGGAAGAAATAAAAAAATTAAAAATGAGATACAAATAGACTAGATAGTGCAATGAAATATAAGTTTTATGATGATTAAAGTGTGAAATAATGGGAAAGAGGTACTCCAATAGGAGTCCTGGCAGGTATATTTATACTGAATAAGAGTTTCCAAAAGATACAAGAATTCCTATTTTATATTAACTATTACACCCCCTCAAGCTGTGCGGGAGATACAACGCGCAGGTTGTTCTTTAAAAAATTAAACTGCTGACTAGATAAAGCTTTAGTGAATATATCCGCAAGCTGTAAGTGTGTGGGAACATACTTCACCAATAGATCACCATGAGCAACTCTCTCGCGAACAAAGTGATAATCAATCTGAATATGCTTGCTGCGAGCATGCTGAACAGGATTAGCAGTCAAGTAGGAAGCCGAGATATTATCACAAAATAACTGCACTGGATTACGGACAGGGTAGCCGAGCTCAAATAGGACCGAACGTATCCAGGACTTTCAACCCCCCTGACTACGCCCTTCACATCGAGCGCATCCAGGACACCGGTTATGACGCCGACATCATCAACACTCTTTACAACCTTTCCTCCTCCACCGAACTTCTCTATGCCTGAAACCAATTCTCTGATACCATGTGAAATAATGGGTGCGGAAATCCATAGGGCTGCTGTGGTGGCCCTCTTCCACGACCACGACCCTGTCGGCCTCGTCCCCTGCCGCGACCTCCTCTGCCGCGAGCAGCATAGCCAGCCTGCTGCTGCCCCCCAGCTGCAGCAACTGCAAACGCCTGATGGCCAATGACTGCCTGTTGTTGACGTTCAGACAAGATTTGTTGTTCTGCTTCCAGGAGACGAGGTTCTAAAATGTCAAAGGGAAACTGCTCGGGAAATAAAGAAACAGTAGTAGCAAGAGGCTTATAGTCCGGTCCCAAGCCAGCCAAAATAGACTGAAGCAGTTCTTTATCCGAAACGGGAGAATTAATTGCCGCCAGAGCATCAACTAAATTCTTGATTTCTCGTAAATAAACTTCCATGGATTGAGTTTCTTTCTTCTTAACAGATGATAACAAACGTTTAAGTTCCATGCATCGGGGTAAACTAGCAGACATAAATCGAGTCTGTAGTCTAGCCCAGATAGTAGCTGAGTGTTTCAAATCATGAACATCAACTAACACATCCCGAGTTAGAGTAGCAAACAACCAACATCTAATTGTTTGATCTACTCGGAGCCAATAATAATATTCTGTGTTGGGAACTTGACGATGCATAAAATCAACATTATACATAGGGGGTACCTGAATTGACCCATCAACAATTCCAAGAAGTCCTTGAGAAATTAGAAAGGATTCAAATTGAGTACGCCAGGTGAGATAATCCTCGACTGCCTTCAATTTGATGGTGACAATTTGAGAGATAGTAGTAATATGTGAGATGGACTGAGCAAGGGCCGACATCGGGGAACCAAACCCAGGTTGTTCTGCTGGCCGAATAACCCCAGGGGAGCCGGAAAACGTGGAGCCGAAGAAAGAGGGGGCGGCCTGTTGCGGTCTGGTGCTGGTCAATGGAGGCTGAATAAAAACGGGTGCTTGCTGCTGCGTGACCGAGGGTTGCTGCCAAGGGAAGGACTGTGGGAAGGACTGAAACAGAGAATTGGTTTCAGGCATAGAGAAGTTCGGTGGAGGAGGAAAGGTTGTAAAGAGTGTTGATGATGTCGGCGTCATAACCGGTGTCCTGGATGCGCTCGATGTGAAGGGTGTAGTCAGGGGGGTTGAAAGTCCTGGGTGATCCGTGATTCCAGCCGAGATGGAGGATGAAGCCGGCGCTTGAGAAGCAGCAGCGGCAGTCGAGGTCATGGCCGATGAAGCCAAGGCTTCGGTGGTAAAGTTTGTCGACGAGGAAGAAGAAGTCATGTCGGCTGAGCGGTAAGCGTGAAGAGAAAAAAAAATTAGGTCTAGGCTCTTGATACCATGTGAAATAATGGGAAAGAGGTACTCCAATAGGAGTCCTGGCAGGTATATTTATACTGAATAAGAGTTTCCAAAAGATACAAGAATTCCTATTTTATATTAACTATTATAAAGTACACAAATTAGACAATCTAAAAGTTTTATATCTTTTTAAATCTTGAATAATACATAACATCTTTAAAAATCAACCTATAACTAATATTCTATACTAAATTTTTGGATGCCCTCTACAAGAATGGTTCTCGGTGCCAAACATCTATTGCACCTCTGGCCTAGAAAAAAGCCTTGAAAACCTTGAAAAATAATATAAGATGTTGAATTGATTTTTAGGTAAGGTAGACAAGGATCAAGTCTCATTGAAGCATTGTAATATATCAGATTTTCACTCGTGCAATTACACGAATATACAATTATTTTAACGAATTAAATTGTATTTGTGTATGTATGCACAATGGCGTATCTAAAAAAAATTTGTCAGTTGGGACAACCTTACACTAGAACTTAGTCACATATTTCACAGATAGGAAATCATATTATTAATATTATTTGATTAGGTTTAATTTAAGAAATATATGTACAAGTATGTATAAAAGGAATATCAATTTATACTACGTGTGAATAAAAATGCTATTGTAGATAAAATTTGAGAAAATTACCTAAATAGAAGTTAAACACAACAAAAGTTAGTGAATTTTTTATCCTGTTATTCTTTTAATGAGATTACATCAAGGGAAGAAAACATAATTAATCCTATTTTATAATTTTTCCTATAAGATTTTAGATATATATATATATATATATATATATATATATATATATATATATATATACGGGCCGGGTTGAGGTTGAGGGGTACTTGTCCCCACTACCCCACAATAGATACGCCACGTCGTGTGTTAGAAAATTCCATTTTACTTCCAAAAAGCCACATTCATCCAGAAAAAATCTTTTAAATGATTATGACTCTGTTTGCAACCACTTGTGCTAAAATAAAAGCACCTTTTGGGAAAAAATGATTAGTAGTAAAACTTGGTAGTGTTTAGTAAAATAAGTGTTTTTTGTGTAATAGAAAAAGTAAAAAGTAGATTCTACACAAAAACCGAGGAAATAAAAGTTGATAGTGTTGGGTAAAATAAATGCTTTTTTCTATAAAAAAAAAGCCAAAATCACTTTTTTAATTGATTGCAAACAAGCCCTATAATCATTTTAAACGTTACAGGAGTATAATCATTTTTAAATGCTACTGGAGGAACCCTTATTATAAAAGTCTGCTCGTAAACAATTAAACACATTTTTACCTTACAAGTTTGATTTGAGTATAAGATTTTACAAACAATAAAGTCTGATTCCAATAAAAGTGTTAGTTCTTCACATGCAAAGTAAGAACGTCTTTGCTTTTGATCATTTGTGTTGGACTATCGCATTAATATGGATTTTGCTATCCACTTATGATTATTTATGGTGCATTGTTACCTATTGGAAGTGCACACTTACCTTTAAAAAGGAGAAGGCTAGATGATCAAATCTGGCTAGATGTCCAGGAGTTCACCGCCTAGGTTTTCCCTAGGGTCAGCTTTCGCTTAAATAAGTTAATTAAAGGAAAAAGGTCAAATAGACCCTCGAACTTACATAAAAAGGTCAAAAAATCCTTATATAGGAGGCTCTGTCCGGCCGTCGCCATTTGGGACAGTTTCCGGTGGAATTTTTTGATGAAATTTTTTGAGCATCTTATTCATTAAGTCTAGTTTATTCATACCAAATTTGAGCTAAAACTTCAATCGGGAAAGGATTCAAATAAATTCTTAAAGATAAATGCGCAGTTAAAAGCGCAGTAGATGATAACTCGATAACTCAAATAAATTATTTCCCAGAGCAACCGAGTAGCGGACATGCTCTGTTTCACGTGTTTTTGTTCTCATCTTTTCCTTAAATTATACTTTAGAAGTTTATAATGCCTCCTAGAATAAGAAAATATGAATAGAGATGTGAAAATGCAAGAAGTAAAAAAACCCAAGAGTTGATTCTATCTTAAAGCCTTACATGCAGAGTGCAATTGAGAGTCATCTACTGGAGAAAATTGCATATTGAGGGGTGTTCGGATCTGATTCTTAAGACTGTCTCTGCTCCTTCAGGGAGCAGAAGCAGAATTTGGAGTGTTTGGGTGAAAGTGCAAAAGTGATTTTGGTGCTCTAATTTATTCCTAGAATCAGTTTTTTTTAAATGCTGGAGGAGAAAACTGATTTTGCTTCTGCTTTAAAAAAGAAGCAGAAGCAGAAGCAGAATCAGTTCCAAACACCCCTAAGACATTACGGAAGATTTTATTTTAAAGAATCTTACAAGGATGGCATTGTTTAAATAAGTGTAGTTTAAGTTCAAAATATTGGATGTAATTTTAATGCTCTTGGTGTATTACTTCAATATGTAGAATTGCATTTTAGCATGAAGTATTCCTATGAAATTTGATACTTCTTTTTATATATTATTAGCGCTTTGTATTAAATATTGAGGCCTCAGATTTTATTTTGAATAGGGCCTTCCATTTGTCGGGGTCAGGCCTGATACTTTCATTTACGTACTTAACACCATCAAATTACATTTGTGAAAAAATATATGCATGTTTATGGTGCTAACATGAACATGCCTTAAAAGTTTGAGGTATATATATTGCATGTGCAAGTTTGGGGTACACATCTCACATGCCTTTAAAGTTTGAGATACTTAAATTACTTCCCCATGCTTGGATTGCTTACACGATTTTACTGACTTATACATGAGGCAAGTTTAATGTAAATTGTGTTAAAGGAAATGTAACTTGAGCCAAGTCAAAATGTAAATCCTGTTTATAAAAATGTAACTTGACACAAATCAAAATGTTTATATTGTGTTAGGTGAAAATGTAATCTCATGTAGTGGCAAACATAAACTCTTGAATATGATAAACTTTGTTGAATTTTAATATGGAATAAGCCTCAAATAAGACTCTATGTTCTTACCTCACCAGGCAGCAGGGGGTGCGATTATGAGAAACTGTGATGGGAAGAGGTCAATTCGAGGTGACTCTTACATATATCCTGGACAGAGTTGTAGGAAGATGGCAAGATGCGGTTAAGAGATGACAACTCATCCCTGAAGGCTCCTCAGAACCAACCAGACACCTACTTAGAAGGAGATAAGTTGAGCTTTGATCACACACTGGTGAAAAGAGAATGGAGTTCCATACCAAATCTTTGCTTGGAGTTGAACCTGAGACATCACCCTTGTGTCACCATCTTCCTACCAGGTGAGCTACGTCCAACATCCCCTAGTGACAAGATGTGGTTAAGGATTTCCTGATTATTGGTTGTGCATTTTTCCGGCTACTGCCGCATCACCGTTTACCGCCGTCCATCATTGCCGTTGGGGGTCACCGGGGCTTGATGGGGAGGGGTGGGTGGGTGGGTGGATCTCTAGTGTGACAGGGTTACTTTCCGGCTTTGATGCTCCTCAACCGCCGTTGCCACCCGGATGACGCCAGGCCTGGTGGGGGGGGGGGTACCTGACGTGTCTGGTCAACCCCAGTTTGAATTTAGAATTTGGATTGGACGTTTGCCGCTTCTCTCTGCGGCGCAGTTCGTAGCGATGGAGATGATTCTGTAACTCGGGCGATGGAGATGGTCAACCCCAGATAAATTTTTGTCTGTATAGGGGATATTGATCCTTTCTATTTTTTCTCTTAAACTAGTGATAAGAAGATTTTTCGTTATCGCAAACAAGTTGATCTGTGACATCTTGTAATGATAAGAAACCCGTTTAGCTCCTAGAGGGGGTCCACTATTTTTTGCATACTGAATGTATTGATATGCTAAAAGATCATATTGACAGCATTTTTTAAAATTATCTTTTTTTTATTAAATACTGAGTTAGCATCCTTTTGTTTCCTGTAATTATTTAATTTTAATTTTCTACTGGAATTCCTTTTGTGTAAATCTTTTTGTTTAGACCTACGATAGCGATTCGCCCTATTTCTCCATTTTTGTTTTTGTGATCTTAAGGCAGACCAGAAATTAGGAGATAAATCGTATTGAGAATTCCCTCTTAACCAAAATTTCCATTGACTCATTCTAGGCCGCTTAAGTTGTTTTGTTATTCCTTCAAATTGAAGTATTCCTTGTGTACGAAATGAGTCTTTTTTTTTTAATAAAGAAATTCTTTTCAATCAAGAAATTCAAAATAGGCTTTAATTTATTTATTCAGTATTGTTAATCAAAAATACGTAAAACAACGAATAATTCGCGCTGAAGAGAACAATAATTGTGATCCGCTTCTTATTGAAAATATTTTATCATCTAGGCGTCGTAGAGAATTAAGAACTCTAATTTGTTTCAATTCAAACAAATGGAATGGCGTGGATGCAAATTCTCTAGTTTCCAACAAAAATCAAGTTTGGAAGGAAAGTAACCATGGGCATAAGGATCCAAATAAATTGATTGAATTTTGTCCTTGGCCTAATTATCGATTGGAAGATTTAGATTGTATGAATCGTTATTGGTTTAATACTAATAATGGGAGTCGTTTCAGTATGTTAACCCTAATGGGCTTCCGGCGTTGGATCTCTTCTGAAGCTTGGACCTTCTGGAGCTTGCTGAGCTGGGCTGATGCGGAAAGGGCAATGACCTTTTATTAGGCCAGACCCCTGGAACGCTGAGATACTCTTGGAGCGTTATTTGGGGTGGGTCTGGGGCTTTTATTAGCTCAAGGCCCAGCAATTTGTTTGATTTGTTTTTTATGTATGTTTTTGGACTGTTTGGACTTTTTGGACACTAAGCCGGGGGCTGTCCCGTGCTAGTTTGGATTCAGTTTTTGTTGGACCATCTCAAAATATGTCCTCTGCCCCCTTACCTTTGTGTGGGGTGGGGGGGGATGGTGGATACTATTTTAGGTTAGTTAGCTAGCTTAGATAGTTTGACACATTGTATTATGCTACTTTTGGGTGATTGTTTTAATATACTTACCTGTTGAGTTTAATCCAACACGATATAGTAAATATATGTATGAACACTCAGTTTTTACGTGGAAACCCGAAAGGGAGAAAACCACGGGACTTTTTAGGCTAATGTCCAAGCCCTCTCATTCTCATTAATCTCTCCTCACCATTACATAGTACAAGTATTGAAGCTCCCATTAATGGAGTTCTAAGCTATTCTAGTGAGAAGGAGGAAGAAGGAAAAGATCCTTTACATGGAGGCTAAGCTCCGTATTTATAGGGGAGGGGAAGGGGAGGCTCTCCACCCTAATGGGCCGAAGTGGGCCTGGTGGTCAAAGTGGGCCGGATGGGCCGAAATGGGCCTAGCTGCTCGGGCTCCGTACTGGATAATGTCTTGGGCTCCTGAACAGTAATAGGCCGGGATAATATATCCCAACACAAGTCCCCCAGTTTCTTGAGTAGTGAGCGTGCGAATCTGCTCGAGAAAGTATACTCTTGCCTGCGCTCTTCCTCTGTCTTGCTGGAAACTGCGTCTTCGAATAATCATAATATACGAGTGGGTGTCTGCACTCCTGAACGTAATCTGCCGGTGAGGCACCCCCCTTCCCGACGGGGTCGGGCGAAGGGTGCTCCTCCACGGGCACACTCCCCCTGAATGCATCAGGCGGGAGTAAAGGACTTTGACTCGAGCTTTCCAATCGGAGAAGCTTAGAGGTCCATGTATCTATAAACCGACGTCGCGGTACTGTCAAAACACGATGCACGTGTGTATGTATGAATGTATGAGGTATGATGCATGAATGCATGAATGCATGTAATGTATGGGTGCAATGTATGAGAGAAGGAATGTGAGATGTGATAGAAAGCGGTGGCTCTCATCGATAAACCGGGCATGTCAGCGCCGAGGGGCAGACGTGCTGCATAAGAGACGTTCGTTGCCATCCTGAAAGGGATGGGCGACCCTAACGTGAGCCAGACACGATGGCGCTGGGGCGCTGATCGTGCTGCATAAGAGACGTTCGTCGCCATCCTGAAAGGGATGGGCGACCCTAACGTGAGCCAGACACGATGGCGCTGGGGCGCTGATCGTGCTGCATAAGAGACGTTCGTCGCCATCCTGGAAGGGATGGGCGACCCTAACGTGAGCCAGACACGATGGCGCTAGGGCGCTGATCGTGCTGCATAAGAGACGTTCGTCGCCATCCTGGAAGGGATGGGCGACCCTAACGTGAGCCAGACACGATGGCACTGGGGCGCTGATCGTGCTGCATAAGAGACGTTCGTCGCCATCCTGAAAGGGATGGGCGACCCTAACGTGAGCCAGACACGATGGCGCTGGGGCGCTGATCGTGCTGCATAAGAGACGTTCGTCGCCATCCTGGAAGGGATGGGCGACCCTAACGTGAGCCAGACACGATGGCGCTGAGGCGCTGATCGTGCTGCATAAGAGACGTTCGTCGCCATCCTGGAAGGGATGGGCGACCCTAACGTGAGCCAGACACGATGGCGCTGGGGCGCTGATCGTGCTGCATAAGAGACGTTCGTCGCCATCCTGGAAGGGATGGGCGACCCTAACGTGAGCCAGACACGATGGCGCTGGGGCGCTGATCGTGCTGCATAAGAGACGTTCGTCGCCATCCTGGAAGGGATGGGCGACCCTAACGTGAGCCAGACACGATGGCGCTGGGGCGCTGATCGTGCTGCATAAGAGACGTTCGTCGCCATCCTGGAAGGGATGGGCGACCCTAACGTGAGCCAGACACGATGGCGCTGGGGCGCTGATCGTGCTGCATAAGAGACGTTCGTCGCCATCCTGGAAGGGATGGGCGACCCTAACGTGAGCCAGACACGATGGCGCTGGGGCGCTGATCGTGCTGCATAAGAGACGTTCGTCGCCATCCTGGAAGGGATGGGCGACCCTAACGTGAGCCAGACACGATGGCGCTGGGGCGCTGATCGTGCTGCATAAGAGACGTTCGTCGCCATCCTGGAAGGGATGGGCGACCCTAACGTGAGCCAGACACGATGGCGCTGGGGCGCTGATCGTGCTGCATAAGAGACGTTCGTCGCCATCCTGGAAGGGATGGGCGACCCTAACGTGAGCCAGACACGATGGCGCTGGGGCGCTGATCGTGCTGCATAAGAGACGTTTGTCGCCATTCTGGAAGGGATGGGCGACCCTAACGTGAGCCTGACACGATGGCGCTGGGGCGCTGACCGTGCTGCATAAGAGACGTTCGTCGCCATCCTGGAAGGGATGGGCGACCCTAACGTGAGCCAGACACGATGGCGCTGGGGCGCTGACTGTGCTGCATAAGAGACGTTCGTCGCCATCCTGGAAGGGATGGGCGACCCTAACGTGAGCCAGACACGATGGCGCTGGGGCGCTGATCGTGCTGCATAAGAGACGTTCGTCGCCAACCTGGAAGGGATGGGCGACCCTAACGTGAGCCGGGTACGATGGCGCTGAGGGGCCGATCGTACGGCACAAGACGGTCGTCGCTATCCTGGAGGGAATGGGCGAGCCGAACCGTGAATCTGGACACGATGGCGCTGAGGGGCCTATCGTGATGCATAAGACGTTCGTCGCCACCCTGGAAGGGATGGACGATCTGAACGTGAATCTGGACACGATGGCGCCGAGGGGCTGATCGTGATGCATAAGACGTTCGTCGCCACCCTGGAAGGGATGGGCGAGCTGAACGTGAGCTGGGTACGATGGCGCTGAGGGGCCGATCGTACTGCATAAGACGGTCGTCGCCATCCTGGAGGGAATGGGCGATCCGAACCGTGAATCTGGACACGATGGCGCTGAGGGGCCGATCGTGATGCATAAGACGTTCGTCGCCACCCTGGAAGGGATGGGCGAGCTGAACGTGAGCTGGGTACGATGGCGCTGAGGGGCCGATCGTACTGCATAAGACGGTCGTCGCCATCCTGGAGGGAATGGGCGATCCGAACCGTGAATCTGGACACGATGGCGCTGAGGGGCCGATCGTGATGCATAAGACGTTCGTCGCCACCCCCGGAAGGGAATGGGGCGATCCGAACGTGAAAGAGACACGATGGCGCTGAGAAGCCGATCGTGCCGCATAAGACGGTCGTCGCCATCCTGGAGGGAATGGGCGATCCGAACCATGAAGCCAGGTACGATGGCGCTGAGGGGCCTGATCGCACTGCATAAGACGTTCGTCGCCATCCCGGAGGGAATGGGGCGATCCGAACGTGAAAGAGACACGATGGCGCTGAGAACCGATCGTGCTGCACAAGACGGTCGTCGCCATCCTGAAGGGAATGGGCGAACCGAACCGTGAAGCCAGGTACGATGGCGCTGAGGGGCAGATCGCACTGCATAAGACGTTCGTCGCCATCCTGGAGGGAATGGGGCGATCCGAACGTGAAAGAGACACGATGGCGCTGAGAAGCCGATCGTGATGCATAAGACGTTCGTCGCCACCCTGGAGGGGATGGACGAGCTGAACGTGAGCTGGGTACGATGGCGCTGAGGGGCTGATCGTACCGCATAAGACGGTCGTCGCCATCCTGGAGGGAATGGGCGAGCCGAACCGTGAGGCCAGGTATGATGGCGCTGAGGGGCCGATCGTACTGCATAAGACGTTCGTCGCCATCCTGGAGGGAATGGGGCGATCCGAACGTGAAAGAGACACGATGGCGCTGAGAAGCCGATCGTGCTGCACAAGACGGTCGTCGCCATCCTGAAGGGAATGGGCGAACCGAACCGTGAAGCCAGGTACGATGGCGCTGAGGGGCCGATCGCACTGCATAAGACGTTCGTCGCCATCCTGGAGGGAATGGGGCGATCTGAACGTGAAAGAGACACGATGGCGCTGAGAAGCCGATCGTGATGCATAAGACGTTCGTCGCCACCCTGGAGGGGATGGACGAGCTGAACGTGAGCTGGGTACGATGGCGCTGAGGGGCTGATCGTACCGCATAAGACGGTCGTCGCCATCCTGGAGGGAATGGGCGAGCCGAACCGTGAGGCCAGGTACGATGGCGCTGAGGGGCCGATCGTACTGCATAAGACGGTCGTCCCCATCCTGGAGGGAATGGGCAAGACGAACCGTGAGTCTGGACACGATGGCGCTGAGGGGCCGATCGTGATACAGAAAAATAGTGATGCCATCATCTCATGGCCCTCGGCCTGTCAGTGAGTGGTAATCGTCTCACGGCCCTCGGCCGTGCTAGTGATGTGTCAAGTCTCTCTCCTGATTGGCTGTGAGAAGCCGATCGTCTGTCAGGACTCCATCCGGGAAGGAATGGTGAGCCTGAAATAAATCTGGGCGATGTCCCTTCTACCTGATCTGGGGAACTAATCGTCGTTCGAGGCCAAAGAAAACCTGATGTTAGCCGATCGTCGTTGGCCACTTCATTCTTCGTACTTAAGTTTTGTAATTATTCTTTACGTATGTTTTTCAGTTTGTACTTCACAGCCAATAGTGTCAAGGGATAAAATCATTCTTTGCTCCGTGCTCTTCTGGCATCTTTTTTTTTTTTTTTTTGGAGTCTTTTAGTCTTCGTTCGTCATTGGTCCTTGGTCCTACCGGCGTTCTTACATCGAAGATACGTTCGGTATCCGCGGACATCGCAATGAGGAACAGGTGTATCTACATCGAGATTCCCCCCTTTTTCGTTCGTCCCTAGTCCTTTTAGTCTTACCGGCGTCTCTTGCATCGAAGAAGACGTTCGGTACCCAAGGAACTCGCAGGGACGAACTGGTTTACCCTCACGGGTTCCCGTCTTTGTTATCCCACGTCCATCGATCCATGGTCATTGTGGGATGAACAGGTTTATCTTGGCAAGGCTCCCTTGGTTCGTCTAGCCCCCTCCGCGTCTCTACTAACCTCTACATCGAGAGGCGTTCGTCTTCGGCGGTGGGAGAAGATCTGGCACCCGGGCAAGATTCCCTTCCACATAGGAGCTACCCTCCTCTTCTCCCCATCTTTTTTTTTTTTTTGTTTGAGGGAGGCAATCTATATTCTTCGTTCGTCCTTGGTTCTTGGTCCTACCGGCGCTCTTGCTTCGAAGAGACGTTCGGTATCCGCGAAACTCGCAAGGAGGAACAGGTTTATCTACATCGAGATTCTCTAGCTCTTCTTAGTCCGTCCCTGGTCTGTGGTCCTACCGATCTTCCTACATCGAAGAAGACATTCGGTATCCAAGAAACTCGCAGGGATCACGGGATGTCACACATAATGGTGGTGGCATAGCGAACGAATATAATGACGAGGCGATGGAGACGCTGGTCGTCATGCGAAGGCGATGGTCACCCTCCTGAAGGGAGGGGTGAGCCCGATCGCTAACTCAAGAAGGTCGGCATTGGGAGCCGATATACAATGATCATAATGTCGCTGAGCAGTCGGTCCTGATAATGGAGATGACAATAGTGTCCGATCAGGCTGATATATCCGAGCAGCGGCTCTCATCCACGCAGCGCGGGGATGAAACTGGTCTTCAAAAGATAAATATGTCGTGCCGAGAGGCCGAACATACATGATAGTGTCGGCAGTGAGAGGCCGACCTGAAAGAATCAAACAGCGGTCCTCATCCGCGAGGTGGCGGGGACGAGGCCGGTCTTCAAAAGATAAGCACGCCGAGCCGAGAGGCCGGTCGTGGTATAATGGTGTCGGCAATGAGCGGCCGATCTGAGAAAATCAAGCAACGGTCCTCGTCCGCGAGGGTGGGAACGAGGCCGGTCTTCAAAAGATAAGCACGCCGAGCCGAGAGGCCGGTCGTGGTATGATGATGTCGGCGATGAGAGGCCGAGCATGATGTGATACTGTCGGCACTGAGGGGCCGACCTGCAATCCAGCAACGGCTCTCATCCGCGCAGTGCGGGGATGAGGCCGGTCTTCAAAAGATAAACACGCCGAGCCAAGAGGCCGGTCATGATATAATGATGTCGGCAACGGGAGACCGATCTGAAATCAAGCAACGGTCCTCATCCGCGCATCGCGGGGACGAGGCCGGTCTTCAAATAAGATAATCACGCCGTGCCGAGAGGCCGGTCGTGATATAATGATGTCGGCAATGAGATGCCGATCAAGATATGGTCAAGCAACGGTCCTCGTCCGCAAGGTGGCGGGGACGAGGCCGGTCTTCGAATATGATAATCACACCGGTCTGAGAGGCCGGTCGTGATATAATGACGTCGGCAATGATAGGCCGGCCTGAAATCCAAGCAACGGTCCTCATCCGCGCAGTGTGGGGACAAGGCCGGTCTTCAAAACGATAAGCACGTCGTGCCGAGAGGCCGGTCGTGATATAATGATGTCGGCAATGAGAGGCCGACCTAAAATCAAGCAACGGTCCTCATCCGCGCAGCGCGGGGACGAGGCCGTTCTTCAAAACGATAAGCACGCCGTGCCGAGAGGCCGTTCGTGATATAATGATGTCGGCAATGAGAGGCCGACCTAAAATCAAGCAACGGTCCTCATCCGCGCAGTGCGGGGACGAGGCCGGTCTTCAAAGGATAAACACGTCGTACCGTGAGGTCGGCGTGATGTAAGGATGGTCCCACGACCCTCGGCCGTAGTGGTCTCCTCTAGGCCACCGGCTCTGAATGATGGATGATCGTCTCACGGTCCTCCGCCGTGGTAGTCCACTCTAGACCCTCGGCCTCTAGGTGTTCTCTCCTAGGCCATCGGTCTCTGGGGTGGAGATGCTCGTCTCACGGTCCTCAGCCGCGATGGTCTCCTCTTTAGCTGGCCCTGAATGTCTTTGAGACTTAGGCCGGTCGTCTTTTAATCATTTCGCTCGAGCGCGTTGAGCGGCTTCAGCTGCGCAATAAGCATGGTAACGGGCCGCACGGCCCGACAATATGTATACACACATAACCATCTGCATGGCTTTCTCTTTAACACCAATGATTACCGGCCTATGGGTCATCGTGACCCTCGGCCCGGCTCATCGTGCGGGGTTAAGGGACGTAGCAGCTAGCGGCGGGGCCAATTAGCAGCCCGCCGAACGTCACATAGAGATATTCATCGGTCTGTGAGTTTTCAAACTCAGATCCAAGTTGGTCGCACTGCCCTCGGAAAAACGAGGTTGAGTGCTTTGCTGCCCTCGGGCCCCATAGGCCACGTTTGGCAATAGTCACTTCGCGCCTAGCGGCGCGGATGGTTCTGGGGTACGGTCGCCGCTCGAGCACTTGGTGTCGTGCGGACTAATGCGTAACCTCCAAATTAAAATGCGTCATCGGGGCACTACCCTCTGGAGACGCTCAGATCGCTAATCAAGCTGATCGAAAGTGGGCCATCAGGGCCACAAGAAATTAAATACTTAATAAAATGTTAGCTGAACTAACCATCACTTGAGCGTGATATAACCGGTAATAGCAATGATATTTTCCTATCAAAGGCCATTCAAGTATACTCCGTTCGCTAATTAAAGCCGATCAGGAGCGGGCCGACGGGCCCATAACAACCAATCATTAATTAAAATGATGGTGAAAACTAATTATCACAAGAGCGTCGCTCGACATTATTTAATTTTGGGAGATTCTAATCCCTAATAAATAATGGTGATAAAATAATTTAACCAATAACAATACTAGTATAGATACGAAGCATTTTAACTAAAAATCATAGCATTTCAACTAAAAGCATAAGCAAAGAGCCAAAGAGTACTCAGCTTTTGGAAGGGACGCTCGGCCAGGCAGCTCGTGAAGTCAGATCTGCTCCCCTTTTAAATTTGACTTAGTCAACTTAAGGGACCAGCTGGCCCCCACATCTTTGACCAAGGGGCAAGGCTTCGGCATAGGCTTGCTGGAATTCTTCAATTTTGACTTTGTCAAAATTCTCCCAGAAGTTTTGGCCCCATTTTCTTTGGCTCTAACCTTGGAGACGTGGTCTGCTCCCAGTCAAGTAAAGAGCACCTTTTCGGAGAGGAAGATGAGAAACACACATCCCCAACCGAAAGCAAACGGCACCTGCTGATTAGTGACGGTGGTGATGTCTGCTGCAGCGGAGTAAGGGCGGCCAGGGAAGCTCGTTTCCGGCGGAAGCTCGACCAGATTACCGAACATACCTCTCGTGAGCTTGAAAACACCATTAATGGCGGGAATCCAGGGGGTTCCGGTCTGTAGTGAGGTGGACAAGACAGCCACGAACGGTGACCGGCGACCCGATAAGATCTGGACAGATTCCCAATTCGGACCTCCCAGACTCCGGCCATGGCTTCTACACTTCCCTCTTTTGCTGAAACCAGTTCATCTGGCATCAAATTTTTTTTTGTAGAAAACCCAAGAACAGTAGAACACATGAATCTTTTTGGACAGATTCCCACAGACGGCGCCAGTGTTGAGTTTAATCCAACACGATATAGTAAATATATGTATGAACACTCAGTTTTTATGTGGAAACCCGAAAGGGAGAAAACCACGGGACTTTTTAGGCTAATGTCCAAGCCCTCTCATTCTCATTAATCTCTCCTCACCATTACATAGTACAAGTATTGAAGTTCCCATTAATGGAGTTCTAAGCTATTCTAGTGAGAAGGAGGAAGAAGGAAAAGATCCTTTACATGGAGGCTAAGCTCCGTATTTATAGGGGAGGGGAAGGGGAGGCTCTCCACCCTAATGGGCCGAAGTGGGCCTGGTGGTCAAAGTGGGCCGGATGGGTCGAAATGGGCCTAGCTGCTCGGGCTCCGTACTGGATAATGTCTTGGGCTCCTGAACAGTAATAGGCCGAGATAATATATCCCAACATTACCTTTCATCCAAAAAAAAAGATGTGGATAAGGAAATGCTAGAGATGATAAACCAAAGAGAAACGAATTGGGCTCGCCATTGTCTTGCAGCACATTCTTTGTCTCATCACCAAATTTTTGAGTGACCAATAATTTACCGTCCCAGACTAAAAACGTCTATCTTATTAATATGTATTCTTAATGGGTCAGGCCTAGCCCCCACCCCAATAAAATTTTTAAAATTTTTAATGTTCCGCTTTTCTCATGTTTTTTGAGGAGGTATGACTCCTCTTGAGAGGTTTTGGTCTAGTCCCCACACATTTTATACTCATTCCTATTTTTAATAAAATTCTAGTAAATGTTTCCCGACATTTACCCCACCGATGAATGGTTTGTCTACCGGGTTTTTTAAAAACTATAGCAATCAAAGTATTTAATACAAATTTTGAACTTTTTAGTTTCAACATGGATTATTAGTTAAATATATCCCCAACTATCATCAAATTCTCAAATTTATCTCGTACTTTCACTTTTGTTAAAAAAAGATTCAAACTTCAACATTTCTCACAATTACACTTTTAGTGGATGAATTAGTAAAACTTAAGAATAAAATCATAATTATATTTCATATTTTTTCACTACTTGCTAGTCTTACAGTCACAAACTTGTATTGTATATATCTTATAGGTATTGATAAAAATGTGTAATTTGAAAACACAAGAAAAGAAAAACATTATTGTTGGAAAAGATGAAGCTTGAGTTTTTTATTTATAAAAGTGAGAGAATAGGATACATTTGTGAATTTGATTATAGTTTAGGATATAATAGGATAATAATCCTTTAAACAACTCTAAGCAATTCATCGAGAATAAAGGGTTTGTTTGACACAACTAGGTGAAAAGATATTTCTTTTTGAGGTTTTAGTAATTGTTATCTTTTAGTGAGAGAAAAGGTATTAAAAAGAAAAACTTGCAACTGCTTGATAAAACATTGACTGTTTAATGTAGTTCTATTTGGTATAACAAATTATTGTGACTAGTTAATGCTAAAAGTCATACACTTTCTCCAAGATATTACCTACCGAAACTTTTCATAAAAATTCTTTTATTTTCAAAAATATTCTTAAGACTTATACCGTCAAACATACAACTATAAGTTTTTAGAAACTTTATAAATATAGGTAGTATAAAACTTAAAAGGTACGGAATAGAAGTTTATGCTTACCAAACATGAAACATGCATAAAATCTATCGTAACAATGAGCTAATAAAACCGTGTTTTGTCTGGGTACCATAAACAACTAGGCTATCAATTGCGTATCCCAAGATTGCTTTGGGCTCGTCGTCGCCGTTGATAAGTTTTGTTCGGCCCACCATTAGACACTGGCTGAAGTTGCTTAAAGGCTTAGAGCTTTATTGGATACTACGTATAAGTTACTTTAATGTGGAAATTACCCGAAGAGTCTGCTTTAATATGCCCTATATCATTTATATCCCACCAACGTTATCTTTTCATTTTTAACTTTTAAATTTTCAATTTCATTTTCTTATTTCACTTTTAGCCAATTTTCCCTGCCTAGAGCTAAGCAGGGATTTCCGATCGTCAAAAATTCAGGAAGGTCCGTCGGAGCGAACACAAAGAGTTGTGAGCGACATCCGGTCCGGAGGAGCTCGAGCGACACCAACCTGCGGAGGAGCTGGTTCGATCTTCCATATTTCTTCTTCCGCTCACTCTTCGCTCGCGCATCTCCTCTGTGGCTATGTGAAGCATCGACGCCAACTCGCCGGTCGCTTGATAACTTCGTCGGATAGCCGCACAGCTCCGCTCCTAGCAGACGAACGAATTCCTCCAACCCTCCTTAATTCGTCTGTCATCTCCACATCCGGCTTAATTTCTAACCTTGTAAGTTTCTAACCTAATTTTTTCAAAGTTAATCTCAAATTTATACTGTCAATTTGTAAACTTGTAATTCCAAAGCGTGGAGTTGGTTAGGCTAGGTTTACTTGTTTGTTTTGTTCACTCATGAATACGATTTGGTGCTTAGAACATTCAAAGAATTGAATGACATTTGACGTGTTTGATTTTATTAATCTGATTCACGGAAACTATGAATTTATGTTAACTTCATTTTGATATGCTAGATATTAATGAATGTGGCCGATTTCATATGTATGTAAATATGATTAGTTATGAGGGGCCAACTCCATCGCCAGTAAGGCACCACCATGAATTTCACATTCAGAGAGAGAAAAAGTGAATTAGCGGGTCACAACTGTATCAAGCACCAGTTCATTGAGAGCGTCTTAATGAAGTGTCTCTGGCACAACAGGACAATCCAGGGGGGACGTTTTGAACTAAATAATAATAATAATAATAATAATAATAATAATAATAATAATAGTAATAATAATAATAATAATAATAATAATAATAATAATAATAATAATAATTTACATGCATTAAGGGTCGAAGTTTCTGTTCCTTTGCAGTTAGGTAAACATGAACCAGAACTTAAGAGAAGGAAGCATCCTGAATTTTAGGTTGCCTCTTGACATGTTGAGATATGATCAATGATATACAAATGTGAAGTGTAAGTATACTAGGAGGAGGATAAATATGGCTCTAGATTAGTGTTGTAAGGTATAAGATACTAATTGTCGAAAGCAAATTCAAATTATTTGATCTGTATAGCTAGTTGGGGTAGCTATTAGGTTAAAGGTGTTCTACGGTCTGGATATCATCTTCGGGAATGCTCAGTGCAAAAAGTATTGGTGTACCATTGGGAAGAAGAAGAAGGTTTAGTTATTCATTTATTCTTCATTTCTGTGTATTAATAGTTTCCATTGTGAAAGTTATGCTTGAAAGAAAGTTTCGCATAACCTAAACACACTCACACTGATAAATGAAGCTTAGTTCCTCTCTATATGTAAAGTGCTTAAACAGGTCTTATGTATGTTACGCATTTTAGATGTACACCAATTTGATGTCATTGTGAAACTTGATTCTTGGCAACAGATTCTTAGTGCTTTGTGTTGGGTCACCTGGGTGCTTTGTGCATTTAGATGCACTAAATGCCATTCTCAAGGTGCAAATTCCGATGAATCGTTTCAGACTCAATATTGTTGACAGATGCGAGCAATATGCCTAGGATTTATGGAAGTAGATCCTCATAAGCAAGTCCCCCTTCTATGGTTTTTAAATTATGCGGTTGTTGCAAGGTAGCTACAATCAATCAAGAAACAACAGAAGTGGGGAGTGAACCAACTGTGGCATTAAAGCTGTTTTGTCCGGATAAAGTATTGGTTCCAAACAAGAAGCAAAAGGGAAATGTGTATTTTGGACACAATATGGTTTCTGCCAATTTTCTTAGCGAAGGAGGAGCAAAGCTATTAAGAGTTGTTGATCCTGTTTTTGTCATCAAAGCAACTCCATCCTGCACTGAAGCTGCAACTTGAAGTCTTCCCTTTTTGGTCTTAGTTAATAAATCCCCATGGTGTATGATGTGGATCAATATGATGCATATATAATGTTCCCACATTATCACTATCATAATTATGGACATCTCATTAGAAAAATTGACATTGTAGAATTAATACAAAATAAATTCTAATGTTATTGTGTAAAAAACAATTTGTTGGCATTTGTTGCATATGTTGTTTTTTGTTTCTTTTTGTTGTGTGAAATTTGTTGCTTTTTGTTGCAATGTGTTTCTTTTTGTTGTATCATGTTGCTTTTTGTTGCAATGTATTGTTTATCGTTGTTTATTGTTGATTTTAATTTCTGTTGTTTCATATTTAGGTTTGTCTCCATCTTTACTACTTCTGGGAAATTAAAACAAAAAACAAACAATTTGTATGCAAACACCAAAAATATTAAATTTCGATTTACGAATATGAAAAATAACTTGATACATAAAGAAACAATTAAAAACAAAAATTTCAGAATTATCAACAAAAAGAAACACAAAGAAATCATTAGAAACAAAAACTAACAATAAAGTGATAATACTAATAATTAAAATTTTAAGTACTCTAAGAAAAATTACATTAGAAAATTCTTTTAATATGTAATTATTTTTAAAGTTTTTTGTAGAGAAGTTTTTTTAAAGTTCATTATTTTAAATTTACATATTTTAATTCTATGAGTTTATTTTAGTTTTACACACTTTTAAGTTTCTTTAATTTTATGATTTTTTTATAATTTCATTTTATACAGAGTATATTTTTCCAGAAAAAATTAAGTAATGTATTTTTAATTATATAAATTTTTGTTAAAAGATTATTTTTTTCGGTTTTTAAACATGTATATATTTATTTGAATTTTTTATTATTTTATCTAGTTTTTATTCTAAAGCTTTTACTCATTATAATTTGTTTTAAAATTTCATTTTTTTTTAATTTTAAATTTTTTTAGCTTAGTTTTAGTAAGTTTAAGATTCCAATTTTTAAAGTTTAATTGACGTTTTTTCATTTTTTGAGAAAGTTTATACGTAATATGTTTTTTTTTTACCTTTTTATACTTTCACATTTATATATTTCGCTTTATTCATTAACTGTTTACAAAACTTTTTCTTTTTGTACAATTGTCCCACGTTTTAATCTATTTTAAATCTTTTTCATTTTTAATTTCCATTTTTTCTATTAATTTATATGTAAAAAAAGAAGAGTACACATTAGGCTACCTGCACGGCTGCACTTAGGGAATTCAAAGAATAGTACGGAGTAGTAGTGGAGTACTAGAGAATTAGTTGGGCTGGAAGCCTGGAACAATGGATGCTGCAGACATCGTACTCGGTGACCCGCGCGTGTAGTCTATTTATGAAAAAAAGTATCAACTAGTCTATTTTTGAAATAAAGATTGAAAAGTGAAAAACGTGATATAACTTTCATTTTTTGTCTATTTGTGAAAAATTCCCTACTTTAATTTCTTAACCCCACCGGCCCATCCACAACTTTTTCCTTTGATTTGGATTTTCTAACGTAACAAGTAACAACCTATATTTATGCAAATGCCTTTGGGTTTTTTTCAAGGGAAAAATTTAATTAACATTAATTAAATCATGGTCAAGGGTCTTGTAAAAAAAAAATCATTGTCAAGAGTGGATAAAATAAAAGGAGGATCATGGTTTCATGTTCCTTGATTCAGATAAAGAACGCAAATGCCTTGGTTATTCAAGCAGTTTGGATAAGTAAAAACGATATTATTACAAATAAAATATGGTCACTTTTATTGTTAATTTATAATTGAGCTTATTTT